GCCGTGAAAGCTAGCCACTGGTTCAAGTACAAGATATCTAGTCCAGATGGATCTTTGATTACACTCCTGTCAAAAAATGGGGTATACTCAATCGGAAATGATGAAGAAGAGTTTCCTTTCTCACCTTGACGACATGTATGAGCCCAAGCCTTAACAAACATGGCCGTACTTTTACCATCAAGAACTGTATGGTGTGTTGTTATGCCGATACAAAACCCTTGATTCAGAAATAGTGTGACCTGCAAAGCTATGATTGATGCAGTATCATCAGATACCTTCAATGGAGGTATCAAATGATGTGATTCGTTAGCTTCATAGGTTTGGTGACCGGAGAGACGGTCGAAGTCTCCATTGGACTCCGCAACTGTGAAAGAAACCCCATCGTTTGGAGTGTACCGGATGATGGGTTTTGCAACATCAGGTGAGGGCCAAGTGAGGTCACCGGCAAGAGGGAGGAAATGGAGGAGAGTATGAGACAGAGAAGTTTTGAGTTTGGGGAGGATCTCTGAGTTGAAGAAGTTATGGTTTATGTCAGGGAGGCGATAGAAGAAGAGGCGTTCGACGGGGAGGAACTTGAACCAAAAAGTGTCCAAGAAAGTGAGTGGGAGAGAGAAGTCGGCAGCTGATTTTGGGGAGTGAGAAGAGGGGGTGACTTTGGTGACTTCAAGTACTCTCATGGTGTGAGATGGCACCGGTTGCTCTCTTAGCGTTTTACAGTGGCTGAGAAAGGACCAGACCTGACATTATAAATCGGGAAAGCGAAATGAAATTGAGATTACTTTGAGATAATGTTGGCAGAGAAACGCCATACACATTTACAGTAAATGCACCAGAAGGGCAACATTCAATGCTTCTTCCTTTTTGTTTTGTTTTGTTTTGTTTTTTTGTTCCTATAATTGTTTGATTTGTTTAGCTGTCATTATTAACGCAAATGGACAACTGGCTGCCGACTGTGAGGGATGAATGAAAATTAAATTAATTTAATAAAAAGTTGTTACGTAGTGAAGGTTATTTTAATTTGTATAATTTTAATAGTTAATTAAGAAATTTCTTATGTACCTGCCCTATAGGCCCACTAGTATTAGTCAATCAGTCGGTGCACTCCCTCTTTTCCTGGGCGGGTTTCGAATTTGCTCTTTGCCAAAATGTTAAAAAAAAAAAAATAAAAAATCTCTTTTATTATTTAGTAATTTTTATTTTATAATTGATCACCATATAAAATGTAAAACCAAAAACTTTTTTTTGTCGAACATGAGAAATTTTGAGAAACAAGGGATTTATTTCAAGTTATTAATAAGAGTTAAAATTTCGATCAATAAAATTTAAATATTAAAATTTGAGGATGAACCATTAAATCTAAAATCTCCTTCGTAAAATCGAAAAACTTTTAATTTAATTAGATTTTGAAAATTAAATGCCATTTGTTTCCTTAACACGTAAATCATGCATTTTGTCTATTCTATCAATCATTATCTCCCTCCATTTTTAGTTAAGAAATCCTTTAATGTTTTGTTTAGATCAGGATGTACCATATACATGGAAAGATTGTTTAATTAGATTTT